GATGAGAGAAATGAGAGGTGGGTGAGTAGAGTCTACTCACCCTGAGCCCAACCTCGGAAGCCCTTTCGGACCCTGGGAACCCAGTGGGAGGTTGTAGATGAAAAGGGGGTTCTATGGAAGGTAAGCTCACAGGGTGACCTGATCATAAATTCCCAACTGAGCAGGTCATAGTCGGTAGTCACACCCCAGGCATATGTGTTTTGAGAAAAGGCTTCTCTTTGCCTTTAGCAAGCTCTGTCCATTGTTTCTGTGCATCTGGGTTAACACACCTTTGAAATGCCTCTTTTCAGTCCCCTGCTTCTAAAGCATGACCACTCTCAAGAGAGCATATAATCTTGTCAGCTATCCTGTATTCGAACCCTACCTTGCTTTCTCCCACCCTCATATAATCTTCCTTAAGTTCCCTCCTTAATTCCAAATGCATAAAAGAAACAGCACATTTATATTCTCTGGAGCATTTTAAGTCTTTCTTCCCAGCAATTGTCGTCAGTTTTGACTCAAATAAACTCATAAAAATTCTGCAGGTTTGGATGTTTATGTCCACAAAGTTGTTGACCAGATGTCACCAGAAAGTGCTGATTTGGGAACGTCCAGCAACTAGCACAGAGACTGAGGTCCTCTGAGAAGGTGCCCATCGCTCTTTGCTCCGAAGGGAGACGAGAAGGCTTCTTGAGAGCCTTTGATGTAGAAGTAGCACGTGCTCGAGGGGTTCAGTTCCAGACATGGTGACCCAGGGCTCTGCGAAGCCTGCAGTGGGACTCATTGGGGTTCCTGTAGGGATTTTATTGAATTTCTTAACATGCCTTTAAAACAGGCTTCCTGGCCCTGCCTGTTTTTGAGTGTCGACCTTTGAACTGGGAGGTCACGGTTCAATTCCCCGTCAGGGCGCGTGCCCAGGTTGCAGGCTCGATCCCCGGTAGGGGGCGTACAGGAGGTAGCCGATCAATGTTTCTCTCTCATCATCGATGTCTCTATCTCTCTATCCCTCTCCCTTCTTCTCTCTCTAAAATCAGTAAGAACAAAACAGGCTTCCTGGGCTAGATGGGTGGCTTGCTGCCTGTCCCTTGGATTCCAGGCTCCCAAGAGGCTGGCAGCAGGCCTGTTGTAGGACACAAAGCAACCTCAGCCAGGGGAGGAGGATGGCCCTGAGCAGAGTGCACCGCAGCAGCAGCCACAGCTTGTGCTGGTGCAGGAGCAGAATTCTCGTGGAGCCAGTGGGATCCTGAACCATACGATGGATCGGAAAGACATGTCTCTCATTTTCACCTGGGGCATATTCTTGGGATCATCCTGAGGCAGCTCCAGAAGGCCCGGAGCTACCAGAAGGCTGGTGGTAACAAAGGCCTGACGTTCAGAATGGAGGAACTGCTGGATTCCAGAAAGGACTCACCCGGGACGCTGACCCGAGGAAAATGTATCTAAAATATGAAGAGAAAAGGAGTGTTTCGCTTCCCTGATTGTGGGTTCTCCCCCCAACCCCCCGGCCCCCGGCATATCTCCAGCTGAGGAGGGGAGACATTTCAGTCTTTGGATTATTTTGTTGAAAACTTCGTGTGAGGCATCAAAGGCCAGAAGAAAACAATGAAACTGCTCAACTTTGTATCTCTTGGGCAGGCAAGGGCAGCCCCCACTAAGTAGAGCGAAAAAGATAAGGAGAGATGAACAAAAATTAATCTTATGACAATAACTTTTGAGACCTATGCATCCACATACTAGCTTAATGTTATATGTTTTGTGTTTAATTGGTAACTAGCATATTTAGTAGAGTGAGAGGCACAGAGAAGAAGATTGAGACAGGGTGGGCTCTGAGTTTGGGTCTGACACCCATGAGGCATGAGACTTTGGGCAAGTTACTTCTCGCCCATCAGTGTCACTTTCTTGTCTGCCAAATGGGATACAAAAAAACAAAACACAACAAAACTGAATCTTGACATGAACATTATATACTCCCAAATGCCTAGCACATCATGTGTGCTAAGTAATAGCAGCAACAATAAAGTATAATAATAATAACCAAAGGTACCGGATTGTAAGCTCTTCTTTGTACCCCTGGCACCCTACAAACTGCTTGGCACATAGGCAACCCCTAGACACTGGTTGCATTACACTGAGCTGGTTTGTTTGGTACCAGCTATACGGAACGCATTGTTCTAGATACTCTTGGGATTATAGAAGAGAGTGAGATGCTGGGTCAAGTCCAACAGATGAGGAGTCCAGTCATTTAGTTCTCAGTCTCCATGTTTTTTTTCACCTGTAAGTCAGAGAAAATAGTATCCGTCAGGAACAGAGAGAGATAGCAGGTCAGCTCCCCCCAGACATTCTCCCCTTTTTTCTTGCTGATAGGTCTCTGGTTGTACTGAGGGCTCTGCGCCCCAGGGAGACATCATACGGTAAATCCTCACTGTTCCAGGCCAGTCATCCCGCTGATCTCATTCTCTTTGCCTGTGATTGGTCTCAGTCCTGGCCAAGGAGGATGCCAAGAAAGCTTTCTTTGCTTAAAAAAAGAGGAAGGAGACACAGGGAGAAACAAAAGAAAACCAAACCAAACCCTGCTTCTTTCCCACTGGCCTTTACTGAGGCCGCCTGTGACGCCTGGAACAGAGGCAGCCGTCTCCAGCCCCTGTGAAGAATCACCGACACCCCCCCCAACCCCCGCCCCAGAGAATGGCAGAGCCGAGTGCTGGAAAGAACCTGGGTCCTTGGTGACATCATGGAGCCGCTGAATTCATCAGCCCTGGAATTCTTGTCACTAGATGGATTTTCCTTACTGTCTAGGCCAGTCAAGTCAGAACTTAAGTGCCTTGTTGTGAGTGAAGGCAGCCCAGATGATGCACTTCTCCAGGGGCTAGTTCAGGTTGGTTCCCCTCACTTCTCGTCTGGAAATAGAATGTCCATCTGCCGGGAATCTTGTAACAAAGGTCTGCATTCCTGCCTTGTGTGGGAACTTCGGGAGTTCCTTTCAAACTCTGGAATTCTCTACTCCTGTGC